TCTTACTTCCCCATACTCTCCACTTCTCCTCTTCAGGTGGACGCTCGAGACGTTCAAAACGCTGTCGAACACCGACGTGAAGTATGAACACAGCCTTAAAGTATGTCGCTGTTGCCGCTCATAACAGCGTCGCAAATGTGCTACATAGTTGCATTTTGCGAAAACTCTGTCTTTCAGATAGTAATGAAGGAAAGTAAGATTATTGCAGGGTGTCGCCGATTTTCTGCCGCTTGAATAAGTGAGCCTTTGTTGTCTTCAAACTATTTGTCCCTGCTTATTTATTAGCCACATGCTCGTCCTCAGCTGAGAATGACCCGAGTCTCACTTGAGACGTTTCCAGCGGCTTTAAGAGGTTGCTAGCTATCCCCTACGAATTCATGTTTGGACACTACTATCACACACCACTTCCCACAACTTACCACCGGAGAATGTGCCTTCCGATAAAAAACACATTATTGGGTATTTGACCTGGCCGTCATCACAGCTCGTGACCCTGCGGAATCGGTGAAATAAGCGCAAAAGGTTTAGATATGCATTTACAGGGAGAATCAGCGGGCCGATGGACGAATCCAGCGGACGGCGAAAAATGTTGAGTACTGATAGAGAATCGACGAAACGTGGGAGCGAAACGCCAACGTCGCTCGCTCATCATTTCCCCTCTTGGGCGGAGTTACCAAAATCGATAAATATCTGAACCTTTGCGCAATGACGTCAGAACGTCGACGATTCTCCCAGTCGACACGTGTTTATCTCGTTTCGCCGGTTCTTTGATTCCTCCGGGTCGTAAACTGTGAACTAAGCCTATGGTTCTCTTCTAGGTGAAGAGGGGGTTGTCCAGGTCTAATTTTTCCCGAGAATTTCGTGGTTTTGAGGTTTGTTAGCCTGATTTTTTTTATTTTCTTTTCAGGTGTTTGCTATTTGTACTGCAAAGTTATAGAAAGAAGTCATTATCCAAGAAGGTTGTGGGAAAAGACGAAACTTTCGAAAGATATGAATAAGGTCAGTCAATGCCTGTCTTTTTAAATAATACGCTATTTCTGGAGTATAAGGCACACCCATTTCTAGGGCGCACTTCCGCTTCAAAGGTCGTTAAGTATTCCTTCCTAACTTCAGTTTTGTGTTTTATGCTTGTCCTTGTCCACAGGAATTATCCTTGTTAAATAAGAGGTGTTGGAAAATCAACTGGAAGATTGAACTATGCAAAAAAGTCCGGAAAACTTGCTGTGTCTCCTAACTTTTCCCGCACGTTGCCGCGTGCCACTCGGAGTGCGCCTCATACTCCAGGAAATAGGGTATTAGCATTTGTTCAAATAAAGTCGTCCTAGATCCCTTTACTTTGTTTTCAACAGCTGTTCACTTTGCGAATATTTAGGCCTTGGAACAAATCAGTGATGCTCTTCTTCACTGGAGTGAGTACGTTCGTCACAAATGTAAAGCGCGACTCATTCGGATTCATCAATATCTAATTCGTATGAGAAGAATGGCTATCAAGGGAACGTAAGTATTAAAGGCATAAGGCACGATAATATGGTACTTGGTCTTAAATTTAGCAGTGTTATAAAGTGGCGAAAAACCTTTGTTCTCCACAACTCAGAAAGCAATTTCGGAAGTGTTTCCTGTTGGCATCGTGCCAATAACCATTACGGTTGCATGCATGTTCTCATATATCCATGCAGCACCGCTGCCGTTTCATATTGTAATACTTCGCAAATGCATGCAGCATTTCGGACATTTGTGGGCGAGCGGGCGCGGTGGGCGTCCGGGTTGCAGCTTGATGGGACATTATGAGGGTACCTTCCCTGGAAAAGGCGTCACTCGACGCCTGCTCAGAGGCGCCGACTTCTGTCCTGCTAGGCGTATCGGATCCAGCTTCTCTTGGAGATTTATCGTGCCACTTGCCTTTAAAAGGATGAAGTTTCTACTGCTCCGCTAAATAATTCATCTGAAAATTTTAAGGCAAAAGAAAATCATACCGATCGCGCGCAAAGTCGAACGACGTGAGAAACGACGCGAGGAAAAGGCTTTAGTAGCTGCAAAATTGGATAAGGCTATTGAGAGTGAACTACTTTCGCGGTTACGGTATGTCACATATTTAAGAAAATCATCGACAAGTTGCATGATTGTCCGATCCATTCAGGCAAGGGACCTATGGAGATATTTACAATTTCCGACAGCAAGCTTTTGAACAAATGCTTGATGAGAACGAAACAGCGATGGAACGAGAAGAAGAGGTTGAAGTTGAAGACGATGAGGTAACATTTTATGATGGTGGACTTATAATTAACGCCAGTGGTTTTGGGAGCCAGAGAGGGATGCGCACTGTCACACGACTAAATCTGCTTGTTTTTCCCTTTCCATTACCCCGCAGGCTCTGCGTGAGCGCACCTAATCTCATTGTATCTATATGTACATTATAAGTGTGACAAGTTCACCGGAAAATGTAATTATGAGAAGTTCACTGAGAATGTCATTGAATAAAGTTATAAACGGGCAAAATTTTCTAGAAATCCTACAACAGGTGGGCGGTGTCGTCGGGTCGGGGCCAAGTTAATCATTACATGAAAGTCCATTCGTCGGTGCGTATGTGTGGCATGGTGAAAATGTGAAAACCTGTTTGAATGGATCTATAGACTATATTGTTTGTAACAGAACAGTCAACTATGTTTACGGCAAAAGCGGGCCGTGGCCATCTGAGGCGGACTTCTAATCGGGTAGTAGTGTACTCGGCTTCTCGCGCAAGAATGCAATAAAATTCCGCAAAAGATTTCTCAATGAAGGGATAACCCCCATCCCTTCACCACACCGCAGTTGAACCTGTTTTTCCCCACTACTTATAATCATTTTTGTTGTGACTGTGTTCTTCATCAGCCCGTGTGTCAACTTGAGCCTGGCGATTGGAAGGGCACCATTTTCGCATAGTCAGAGCATCGTTTTGGTCTCGGCAAAGGTCGAACTTTTGTGGTTCTATGGAACCACAAGTTCGATCTTAGTCGGGACCAAAACGGGTGTGGTTGGGGTGTAAATTGCATGTGGGCAAGGATTGAATATGTGAATCTGTGGAGTGATCCACGAGTACGATCCTTGCCAAAATGATCTCCCCCAACCACTCGTCATCTC